CGAGCGTTGCGATCGCGAATTATGAACAGTGACAAATATATCAAAGCGAAGCGTTCTATTTACGTATCGAATATGTTGCCACATTTTTAATACAAAAGTTAAACTTTTCCCCACTCTGATAAATGTAAATTAATGAAAACCTTACAATTAAATTATTAATTCCTTCGTATATTATTGGTTTAAGTTGTCGAAAATTAATATTTCAATTATAAGGTTCGCATTAGCATGCATTTATAAGAGTGGAGAAAAGTATATGCATTATGTCTGTTTGAAGACGAAAAAGCATAGATTTTCTTACAAAATGACTGATAACTAAAAAACTAATCCAAATTTTTGAAAAAAGAAAAAAAATACTTCTTCATTATGTCAAAACACAATTATGTGCCGAGTTTCGTGCCTGGGTGAGGCTTCTGGGGCGATATATTATGATTACAGACACACACGCAGCCTCGTTTATTATTATGTATATAGATAGATAGATTAAAATAGAACGCAATCGAACGGCATTATGGTTAAAGGCTTGGCCAAAGAATACCTAAGTTCTAAGTGCTCTTTGTTCGCCAAGGTTAAAGGTATCAATTGTAGTTCGTTATAGAACGGTTTTTCTGTGAATGAATATAATTATCATTATTGCATTTTTGAATTTTATATTGCTTCAAACAGGTTTTTGTCAAGTCAGGATAGATAAACTCAGTTGCGGTAGTTTTTCCCGTCCAATCCATTACCTTTTTGGTAGAGCAGATCCGAAGTTGAAGTACATGCTTTACACCAGATCTAATGCTAAAGATGCTTGCGACCTTCAGCCAACAGAAAAAGCTTACCGAATGTGCAATTTTAATCCGAAAGTTAAAACGGCAATTATAGTTCATTCGTGGATACCCAAGTTAGAGGAATGTTACCCAATGTTTGTAAGTGCATTATTTGTTATAACATCCTTATCTAGCTTTGCTTTATTTCTTAGTAAGGCAGCTTTGATAACTTCTTTAAAAAAATAATCTTTGTATTTTGGATAGAAGATTCTCATGGTTTTAACACTGAACATAAAAACATTTTACTCGTACAATTCAACATACAAAAACTGGTTATGGTATGGATGGGTGATCGTGTAAAGTTAAGGGAATTGTTTACATTAGACCACCCATCCATATAGTGTTAACTGACATGGAAACGGCAATTTTTTTGCTAACTAACTTTTACACTACTCTATAGTTTCTGATAAATATGCGTTATTTTACAACCATTTATAGCTCACCATCGCAATAAGGGTGAGTGGATTTGAGGCAATAGCATTCATTATTGTGTGCAAACATATTTTTCGAATTTCAGAATGGAGAAATTTTTAAGCGTATGAAAAAGTTTTGAGCATAATTATAAAAACTATTTTTCCATGCAAAAAAATATGCTTATTTATTATTATATTTTACTCAAAATGGTCTAAAATTTTGAATTGTAGGATAAACAAAATTTTTATTTATTTTAAATTATACAATTTTAAGGGGAGTCGGTACGGCGTATACCAATTATGCTAAAACTGAACTTTTTCGACATACCTTTTCTTAGTATGATTTTGCCTCATTCTTTTTCCACGGAATATCTACATACGCATGTTTACACAATGTGATAACTGTTTATACATATCTTTAGCAGAAAGTTTAAAAAAAATGAACTAAAAACTTTATTTTCTTAAAAAGTTCCATCATTTTGGAGCAAAAATCTTTCATAACTCTATATGTGTTCCTGTTAAAGCTAAAACATCTCAGCATATAACTGATATAATCCAAAAATCTCCAAGAAATTTCAATGCGATATCATAATTAGTTTTTTTAGAAAAAGTACATCAAAAAAGTCAGTTTCAGCATTATTTATATATGCTAAAACTATTATTTATTTATATAAAATAACTCAGAGTCTTAGAGTAACTCAGAGTTTTAGAGTAACACAATTTCAAAGACTGCGTGATTAGTTCTCGATCTCTTAATAACTATTCGACCGATTTCGTTTCAATTTTCTCTTTTAAAATTGCATAGTTTAAAATGATGTAAAATTTGCCTTAATTTCTAAGTTAAAATTTTTCGATCATTAAAAAAATATTATACGTATGAAAATATCATCTTTAATAAGTTATACAATTGTGAGAAATATATTTCTGATTTACTTGAAAAGTTCCTGAGATATGACGAAATGCGGAGAGAACGGAAATTGTTGGTAAAGAGTATAAAGTTTCAACGCTTCTAACTATATTATTGTGATCTTATAATCTAAACCAGGGGACCCCAACATTTTTGTACCTAAGAGCAAATACCAGAATATCGGTCGAATGGCGGGCACCATTTATTTTGTCAAGATAAATTTATAGTTGGTAGGCATAGGTAATAATACACACTACATATAGTGCACAAAAAATTTTACTTTTAAAAATTAATTTAACATATGAATATAATTAGTATTAATATTCTTGTGTAAAATAAATGATTACTAAATTGCTTTCAAAACATACGAAGTATAAAAATTATTTATAAAATACAGTCAGTGTGGTGTTTGGCATAGCATTTCGCTGGCCAGCGCTATATAATTGGGAGAATATGATGCTCTTTTTAAGAATGGAATTTATTCCTTCAACTATATTCCAGAATTTCTCATGTGATATAATAGTTTTGAGGATAATGTCATTCTGAAGATCCACAATTTCTATCTCCAATTCTTTTCGCTTTACTTGAAGAAATTCTGAAATGTATGTTGCTACTACGGTTTATTTGGTTGGTAAAAGGATTAACAAAAAAGTTATCAAAGGCTCGATGATATTAAATTGTTGAAAGCGCTTTTTAAATTGATCTTGAAGCAATTGGAGGTTGATGACAAATGTTAATAAGCCAATTTCACTGTCACCTATCATTTTTTTCATGTTTGGAAAATGCACAAGAGACTTCATTTTCAAATGTGATATCCACAAAACTAGCTTAGCTCTGAACGAGTTTATAGCCTCTATCATTTTTGCTTTATGTTTGTCCTTTCCCTGCAGCTCCAAGTTCAAATTATTTAGTTTTTCCATTATGTCCGTTATGAAAGACAAATCTGCGAGTCAAAGAGGATCTCTTAGTTCTAAAAATGTTTGATTTTTGGCTACAAGGTAATTTTTGATTTCTCCAATTAAATGTAGAAACCTCTCAAGTACTTTACCTTTACTGAGCCAGCGTACCTCAGTATCGATCTGCATAGCATAAAATTTGCATAGCATTTATTGTGAAAATGGAAAACTGAAATATTTTATCGTTGGGTACAAGCAGCGGGTGCACCTAGATCGATCGACGGGCGCCATGGTGCCCGCGGGCATAGGGTTGGGGACCCCTGCTAAACCAAACGGCCCCTAATATTTTGATAGTCAAGAACGCAAATATGTTTGAAAATAATGTTAGCTCTCAGCGAAAGTGCTTTTTTTGTGTTTGATTTCCTACTATAATTAACAGTTAGGCTAAATAGTAAGCCTAAAATTCATATTATATTTCAATCTTATGAATCGTTAGAATTTACATTTTGAATGTGAAAATTCAAACATTAGAGCAATAGCTATTCAGGGAGATATAACTTTTCTACTTATTGTACAAACACTTTAGTGAGAAATTCTGATACAAATATTCATGTTATGTTTATAAAATTTTTATCTAAACATTTCATTAAATAAATCTTTTAAAAATATAATTTAAGAGTATTTTTTCTAAGTAAGTAATTGCAAGGTTGAAATTGGAAGAAAAAAATATTAAGAGAAATAAAATAATTTTTCCATTAATGGTCATTTAGGTCTACTGGTAGGCTTTTTCTGGTCTCATATTACAACTGTAAATATCATTTATACAACTCTATAAAATACGGATGCTCAAATCTCACGAAATTTTCGTCGGTTTTAACGACACCGTTCTCTGGTATATGATCCGAGAAAAAATTCCGTCAAAGTGACGAAATAATAATTGTCACTTCTCCGAGGAAACAAATATCGACAAAATTAAAGAAATATTTCGCCAATCTATTTTTTTGCAAAACAAAGAAAACCTCGCAGCCTATAATGTACCTAATTTTTCTAAAAATCATTTAATCTTAGGCACCTTGAAGGTGGATCAATATCGCCCAAACAACATAGGAAGGACGGATAGAACAGAGCGATAAATTACGCACACATGCCCAAAAAGAGATTCGAATCTAAAATCTTTCTTGTACGAGGCCAACGCCTTGCCATACGTTGGTTTGTTTCGTCTCTTTATTTTCAATCGTTTAGGCTTCCTTTTAGTTTCGTCATTCTAGTTAACAATCTCTCACAATGCTTTGCTATGAAGTTCCGAGTTGAGGAAACATTTTCGTCACCCATTTGAGACTTCGCGTTTTGTCAGAAATCGTGTGATTTTGTGACAAAATGCTAATAGAAATACAGCTCTATGTTTGCTGAATCGTTAAAAGGGGAAGTTTTATTTCTGAGAGTGTAATTATTTAGTTATATACGAGATCTTATAGTTTAAGAAAAGCTGATCATTAGATTAAAAATGTAAGAGTAAACCGTTTATTTTTCCTCGCCGTATGTGTTTCGCATAATTAGTAAAATAATCCACCAAATAAACCGACTAATTGCTATTTTAAATAATGCAATGAGAGAAAAATATTTGTTGCTTTGTTATTAATATTTTTAACTATCATCTAAACTTCTATACTAATCTTCTTTTATCGTATTATCTTAACAAAACCATAGTTAGAAAACAATAGTTTAGTACTTCGATTAAAATGTGAAAAAAACTCAAATGTATCCAATGTCTTTTTTCCACTGTGAATATTTAGATAAAAATGATTTTTAACAATTGTTTTCCCTGGAATATCTTATCGTTTAAACTTAGGGTGGTAAAGTTCTTATAATTATTAAAATCATTCGCAAAATGAACCGACTAATTGCTCATTTAAATAATGCAATGAGAGGAAAATATTTGTTGCTTTGTTATTAATATTTTTAACTATCATCTAAACTTCTGTAATCTTCTTTTATCGTATTATCTTAACAAAACCATAGTTAGAAATCAATAGTTTAGTACTTCGATTAAAATGTGAAAAAAAAAACTCAAATGCATCCAATGTCTTTTTTCCACTGTGAATATTTAGATAAAACTCATTTAAATAATGCAATGAGAGGAAAATATTTGCTGCTTTGTTATTAATATTTTCAACTATCATCTAAACTTCTATACTAATCTTCTCTTATCGTATTATCTTAACAAAACCATAGTTAGAAAACAATAGTTTAGTACTTCGATTAAAATGTGAAAAAAAACTCAAATGTATCCAATGTCTTTTTTCCACAGTGAATATTTAGATAAAAATGATTTTTAACAATTGTTTTCCCTGGAATATCTTATCTTTTAAACTTAGGGTGGTAAAGCTCTTATAATTATTAAAATCATTCGCAAAATGAACCGACGAATTGCTCATTTAAATAATGCAATGAGAGGAAAATATTTGCTGCTTTGTTATTAATATTTTTAACTATCATCTAAACTTCTATACTAATCTTCTCTTATCGTATTATCTTAACAAAACCATAGTTAGAAAACAATACTATAACAATAAACCGAATAGTTAGAAAACAATACTAATAGTACTTCTATTAAAATGTGGGAAAAAAAACTCAAATGTATCAAATTTTCCACTGTGAATATTTAGATTAAAATGATTTTTAACAACTGCTTTCCCCTGGAATATTCAAAGCTCAGCCCCGTCCCGCCCCCTAGCGGGGGCATCCGGGGTGAAAATTTATTGATCAACAAAAGGATACAAAACAATTTCCAGTTTGAAAACAAAAGAAGATGAGAATTTACAATGATAAACATGAATAATAAAACAAAATAAATGAATAATAAATAAATATAATAATATTTAATGCTTATCCTAAATTTTAGTTGACATCCTATAATTTTAGTTGACAATGACTTGTATGCCTTAGATTTGAATAGAGACGAATTTGATATAGCATTACATGATTTCTTAAGTATCTTTGAATATTACTAACAACAACAATCTGAAAAAGAATACAGTATATAACATTGGATCCAAGAGGGTAAACAGGTAAGTGAAAGATTGTAAACATTAAAACATTGGATCAAAAGGTAAATTAAACAAGCAAAGGCAATTTAAACGTAATAAAACATTGAAAACATAGAAATTGAACCAACAGGCTTCCTGAATATTAAAATATAAAAATATCATTGAACCAAAAAGGTTCCAAAGTTAAAAACAAATAAATAGCAATGAAGTGAAATGAGTAGAATTAAAAGAAAGCATTAAGAGCAATTAGCTGTTTGTGGCAGGGCAGGCGGTCGCTATGCAACCCCGAGAGATGTTAATTAGGTGCAAAGATCTAAATTTGATTCATATGAAGAGGGTCCATGAGATCGTCTGATCGTCCCCTGGAATATCTTATCTTTTAAATTCAGGATGGTAAAGGCAAGTTCTTACAAGCTGATAACTTTAATGTAGTTGTGTTTGATCTGTAGCTAAAGGCAAGCTCTTATAATTATTAAAATCATTCACAAAATAAACCGACAAATTGCTCTTTTAAATAATGCAATTAGAGGAAAATATTTGTTGCTTTGTTATGAATTTTTTTAGCAATCATCTAAACTTTTTTACTGATATTCTTTTATCGTATTATCTTAAAAAGAATTTTAACAAATTGTTTCCCCTGGAATATTTTATCTTTTTAATTTAGGATCTTAAAGACAAGCTCTTACAAGCTGATGACTACAATGTGGTTATGCTTAATTGGACAGCTTACTCCAATACCCATGACTATACAAGCAGCAGACCTGCAAATTATGGTATTGCAGCAACTTATAGCTTTACTGTGGGAATTAAGTTTTCTTCGTGGTTACACTTTCTTCAGGTAAGTAAAAGAATATAAAACTTATTTAATACTAGCTGTTCGGTATTCAGCTAGTATTAAATAAATTTTTCTGGATAAAAAAAAGTAAAAATCCAAATAATCAATAAATCGGTATTATCACTACGAAATCATGAACAAATCTGCAAGGAATATACGGACATAATTAATAGAGTTAAAATATTCAATTACATTTTTATCTCAATTCTCATACAATTTCTATTTTTTACTCATTATTAATTGTTGCCTTTCCTGATAATATTATTTATAAGATTCAGTAAAACATGTCTCTAGAAGTTTATCCCTTAAAAAAAAAGACTAACTGTTCTCAATTATCATTTGACGTGATGCCGTTGTTCGAAGCCGACTTGATAGAATGATGGAAAGAATACAGACCAATCATGGAAAGAATTTTCATTCGAAGAATAATAATTCCTGTTAACTTAAATATATATGTTCTTTAGCTATATAAGAAATCGCAATAGACAATATTAAACTTTTAACTTAAAATTTTACTAACTTTTTTTAACTAATCTGATTTTTTAATCTGTAAATCTGAATTCCACTGTGATCGCAAGACACAAATCACCAAAGTCAAGCCTCATAGGCTGCAGTTAGTGAGCGTGTGGATGATTACTTTGATCAGCTTGCTAAGAGACCGATGATGCGCGGAACGGCCCTAGTTAAACTGTTCTACCGTGAAGTGCTTGACTTTATGGCCAGGTTGGTTGGTTACCAAAGCGGGGTAGCTATACCCTCTGCAAATTGTGATGGCAAGTCTTCGGATCATACTCAGAGATGTTTCCCAGACCACCGCCAACAGCCAATTGTGCGATTTGTAGAGGCTTAGAAGATAAAGTACTAGCCTCCCAATGAGGTGTTCCGGGTTCGATTCCCAGTAATGACTGGTCGAAACAAATTCCGTGCCTGCCTCGCACCGACCACAGTGCTGACGTAAAATATCCTCAGTGGTAGACGGATAAGTTGTTGCAACCCCTTGCCATCAGGCTAGCGGTAGGAGGTTTTTAAGGTTCTCCTCTCCATGTAAATCAAATGCGGGTTAGTTCCATCAAAAATTCCTCCACGAAGATTAGTTTGTCTGGATGCTTTATCCAGGAATTCTCTTGTCTGCTAGATTTTCTTCAAAAATACAAGTCTACGAAGTTAAACATTAGTTTTCGTAAACTCAAAATTGGGTCGATATATATATATAACGAAAATAATTTCTAATTCACTTTTTTATTGTTCATTAAATCGACAATGTTGTTGATTGTTGACACTTACACTCAAATTTTTTATTATTTGAGTGAATGGGAATTCCGTTATAGCTTAAAATTAGTTTCATATGTATTTAAAAAATTTAATCCCTGTTTCTGGAATATAGCATTGACAAGGTTAGGTTACTGCTGTTTATTACTCTCCATTTCCTCAAATAACAAATTCTTTATGTGTTTTTGATAAAGAAGAATTCTCAAAAAAAGTTAAAGTAAAGTATTTTTTTTAACAAAAAAGGGAAAAGAAGTGAAAAATTCCAAGTATCTCGGTTGACTTAAAAGTCAATTCATAAACAAGCTTGATGTTCTTATTACTTACGACGGGTAATTTTTAAATTATATTTGGAATGAAATAAATGTTGTTGTTGTTGTTTTGTGTTTCATTTACGTCGCACTAGAGCTGCACAAAGGACTTTTGGCGACGGTCTGGGAAACATCCCTGAGGATGATCCGGAGACATGCCATTACAATTTTGATCCTCTGCAGAGGGGATGGCACCCCCGCTTCGGTAGCCCGACGACCTGCACGCGAAGTCGAGCACTTTTCGGTAGAACAGTTTAACGAGGACCAATACCGCACACCCTCGGTCTCTACGCAGACTGATCCAAGTGGTCACCCACCCGCACACTGACAGCAGCCGGTGATGCTTGACTTCGGTGATCTGCTGGGAACCGTGTCTTAACGATCAGTCTACTGCGGGATTTAAATAAATGTATATTCTTGATTTTAATACACTTATAGTATAGATTGGATCCTTTATTTCCAAATGGTGTTCCATGGAACCCTAGGGCTCCATGATAAAGTTAAAGGGGCTTTACGAGTTAGTAATTTTTATAACCAGTAATGAGTTTTGAAACCTCAGGTTATATTTAAATCCACTATCAGGTTATATTTAAATCCACTACATTCATAATTTATTTAATCTTACAGTTGCCTTTATGAAATTATTTCAAGTAAAGTGCCGAAAAAATAGAAACGGTGTTTTCAAAAGAAAATATAGTATTTCTAATAACAATATCTTGAGCAAATTATGAAACGAACAAACCTTTATAAAATATTGCGTTACTATTTCATATAACGTTTTTCAAATCAAAATAAAACAACCAATATCTTTGCTAAGGGAATATGTTTCCCTAATAATTTTTTTTAACGTTTGCAAGCAGTTCTTTTAAGATTTTATTTTTCATTAAACCATAATTTGCCTTATTTTAATCATTTTTAACTTATGTATACCCACCAAAATCAAATTCGTAACTGGACTAGATACAGCACAAGGTCTTTAAATTCAACTGTCGGACATAAAACATAATTTAAGATAATTAATAATAAAACAATTAAAAATCTACTTACCTGCAATTAAATACTTAAAAATAGTTATTTATAGGTTACAACTTAAAAAGTTTACTTATGAAGTCGGAGATCCGTTGAAAGAAAGATTATTATTTTGGGTTTCGTTGCAAAAAGAAAAAAATGGAAATTGCTGGTATAGATTAATGCTATCAAAATAAATGTAATAAATTTTACTGAAGTACATAAATTTCTTCCACTTCTTTTACTCCAAAATAGTATTTTAATTATAAAAAATATTTTTTGTTGCTATTCTGCATAATGTTAATTATAATTTTGGGCTTTATAATGTTGAATGTATTTAGAACAGTAAAACCAATATTTTATTTCTATCTTCTGTTTTTTAAAATAAGTATCAAAAGATTTACTGAGATTACAGCTTTTTTTAAAAAGTCTTCAGTCTAAAGATAAATTCTTGCTTTAAATTCAAGCTAGAACAAATTTTAAAAAATCAATAACTTTAGATTTGTGCTCTTTTAATGTCTACAACAATTCTAAACTTTATTCAATATTTATTTTAAACAGGGAGTTTAGTCATAAAAACAAATATTTGATAAAAAAAAATCTAAAATATTCCTTGAAAATAAACATAATATGGTTTAAAAAATGAAAGAATAAAAATTATTTTGCATTTACGAAGCATCATATGAATAAATAATATGCTACTCATAACTCATTCTTATACGTTCATTAATTTAAAAAATCTCAAATATTCATAACTAAAAACATTTCGTCATCTATCAACAATATTTCAGAGGGTAACATTGAAGTTGATGATGTAAACATTTCTTATATCAAGCCCACGTTCATATTAAACAACATTAAGGCATAATTTAATGAATCAAATTGGCACAATTCAATGAATTTAATGCAATCTGAAACATTCGGATGTAATTACGAAAATTCAAACGAAAGTTAAAACTCAATAGCTTTCAACGCACTGCGATGGTAAACAAACGGTGGATGCAAAATCCCGAGACCTTCCGTTTTAGCTAAAAACGAAAGTAAGCATTTTGTTTTAAAATTAAAATTAACTTAATAATTAGCACTCTCAGAGAAATAATAATATCTTTTCTGAGGGTTTTGAGTGATTGTGGATGCATTAAGATTAAAAACCAAATTGACTGTAATTTAGCAACTATTGTTTTGGAAGAAACATTTGAGGAAGCTCAGCGTCCCACATTGAATAAGAAGCTTATTTCTAATAATATACTTGCTCAAAAACCTTGTAACAAACTTGATTCATTCTTGCAAGCAATATTCTGAACATACATTATTCTTTAACTTAAAATTTTCCAAGGCAGTAGTTTTAAGAACTTAATATTGTTTATGTAAGGTACACGGAGGAGCTGATGCAAACAAAATCCATCTGATATCTCACAGTTTAGGAGCTGCAGTGTGCCACTTTGCCGCAAAATATATCTGCAATTTAGGACGCATTACATGTAAGTACCACTGAGCCATTGACCATCGTAACTAAGGTTACTGAATGTAATTTACAAAACGTAATACGCGGATATCACACGAGAGAAAAATAAAAGCAACCGTAAACGTAACCTCCACTCTATCAATAAATGTAGATGCGGTGCTCCCGCAGATATTGTCCATATAATACTCATATGCCCACTTTTGAGTCAACAGCGCTCTGTACTCCGAAAACAAGTTGGCGTCGGAGCTCTGTCCTTTGCATTTCTGATGGACACTTCTGACAACAACAGACTACAATCATTAATCAAATTCCTTAAAGATATTCATCTTATATAAGCTTCATCCCATCTTTCAATCTACAATAAGCGAGCTATAAGCGCAACCAAGATAAAAGCTCCAAAAATGCCCGCCAGTAATCATCATCCACTCTATCCTCAACCTTTAACGCAATTTCGCCGTTCGGAGTTGCCGATAGGGTTGTTTAATTGCCCGAACGATTGCTCATAATAGGGTTACTAATTTTTGTTACTTATCTTAACTTTTAGCTAATACTATTATTTTTTCATGTGATGCTATTATCGCAACGATGTTTCTAAAGGAAAGAAAAGGGAATTACAGACGCTCTAGAGTTGATATCCGTTTAATTTTATGTATTAACTTAATTAATTGAATGTATTAACTCAAAATTTCATCCGATCAACGTCACGGCCATTTTCATTGACATTTGTAAGCGGCATCACATAGAATTGAAACGTCATAAAAAGCAAACGGCTCGATTGATCCAAGTATGAGTTTCTCTTATTTATAGGCAATTTTTATCTTAGCGGAGAGAAGCACAGTTGCTGATATTTCGGGCACGAGGATTTTCGAGCAATTTTTGGTGAAAGTAGAAGAGGCGATGCCGATCGGCCTGTGTAGGGGGCAGGGAACTGCCCTTGCATCAGAAAGGTCCTGGGTTCGAATCCCGGGCAAGGCATGGATGTTTCTTTCTCTCTGTGTGTGTTCTGTGTCCTTTCTCCTTTGTGTGTGAATGTGTGTGATATGACCCGCCCTATAAACGGGTTGTGGTTGTGTGAATGGCGTGGTGGAAGTCGAATTCCTGGCCATAGATGGCGCCTCTGAAAAACAGGAACAATCGCAATCCCACTGCCTAAACAGGCATACGACTAAAAAAAAAGATGCGATTGCGCTTACGGTTTCGGTGCCGATAATTTTCATCGTGTGATATCCCCTTTAGTTATTTTCAGTGTTTTGTTTTACCCACAGATTTTCCGTTTGTTGCAAGGTGTTTTGTTTTTGAAGGGGAAACATATTTTAACAAGCAAGTTTCTGAGAACACGACTGAATTTGCATAGGCTTGCTGCAGTAAACCTTTTATATTTACAATTAGCCACCACTACCTTAGACTCATTAGAAACTGCCCGAAATAAGTCATACTGACTAGAAAATGAATGATATATTTTATTGTTATCCTAAAATTTTTATGCCTCTCTGCTAAAAAGCAGAAAATACGTCGTAGCTGATAAGAAAAATGCTTGTAACTTTTCCAATCAGTCATTGCGAAACGATAGCGGTTATTTTTAAACAAGCGGATTTTTTTTATTTAGCCTTCATCTTGTATAAAATGGATTTCATTTAATGAATTACTTTTTCATCAGTATAATTATTCTGCAAAAATCCCTCAGTATTGATCTTCAGCAGTTGAACTGTATATCATGGGAATAGTTTTTTTTTTAATTCAAATAAAAACTGTACTTAATGCTGCTCAGCCTATCTCAAAACTGCTTTTTAAATCTAATTTAATTAAGCTCATGTAACTAAGTAAACAATGAAATATATAGATAAACGAAATACATAACTATATGCTCGCCATTAAAGTTAAAGACCAAAAGATAAATAATTGTATATGCTGTAGTATTATTATATATGCTGCTATACATATAATTAAATATGCTGTAGTTGTATGTGACTGAAGCAAATATTTTTGGTATTTTACTTTAGAACAAAATATAATGCAATGTATGATCGTAGACATATTGGAAAATTCAATTCCCTACAAATACCTCCAGCATTTTTCTATATTCTAGGCTAATTGGTATAGGATAATCGGTAAATTGACTAGGCTAATTGGTAGTTTTCAGTATTTTCATCAGTCTGTATTTTTAGTATTTTGCATTAGCCTATATGTTTTTAGTTTTATTAGGAAGTAATCGAATAATTACGCAATTTGACTGTATTCGCTTTGGCTTATTGAAATAAATCTGAGAAAAAAAGCAATTTAGTATAAAGCCTCAATATGCTGGACTTTTTACAAATTGCCTGAAATAAACCAAGCTAAGTAATGAATAATATTTGTTCCATTTAATTAAGAAAAAAATATTTGGATTTCCTGCAATAAGTCTAAAAATTGTGAAGCTGATTAAATATTACCGAAAACTTTTCCAATTAGCCTGGTGCAATATAAAATGACAGCGACTGTTCACGAAGAGTAGGATAATACAATTATGCTACGATATGTTGATGCTCCGAATCTAAACGTTTGATCATTTGCACTCCATAAAATATTTACATCTCAAACAACACCACAAAACTAAGCTTAAATTTTTTTCTTTTTCTCTTTTTTCTTTCTTTTTTTATGCATGACAGAAAAAGGAAAATATTTAACTATTTTCACTCGCAATTGCTAGTTATTAGATTTTTTTTTCAGATCTAGATGCTGCCGCTCCTTTGTTTACGTCACTTCCAGAATACTTGCAACCTTCGAATACCGACGCAGATTTTGTGGAATCAATTCATACCAATGGTGCTTTTACAGCAGGAAAAGGTATTACTATATTCCGTATAAACTATTCCCTGCCACCCTGACCTACTTCACCAACTTGTGATTTCTTTGTTAATTGTTTGCGCAACATCCCCCACCCCCTCGTTACCATCTTATTTAACTATTAACGCAAAACATCCATAAAAAATAGACCTAGGGGAAGAGGGCTAGCTCCGACAGACATAATGTAAACCAGTCCCATAAGTCTTGGTCTGGTCCCTTCGCAAAAAGGAAGAAACAACATTTAGGAGAACAGCAGCAGAGGTTTTTGAAACAAGTTTTCACCCTTTTCTAGTCCCAACAATTACTGGGGCGAGGAAGGAATGAAACGTTTACTCTTTTTATTTTTTTGTTGACTTTTTTTTACATTTGGCACTATTTATAAGCAGTACTGTACTATTAATTAAGATATTTTTTTCAGAATGCATTTATATGATACATGCTGATTAAATCTGCTACCATATTTTGAGATAGAAAGAAGGATTAAAATGGTAAATGGTGGGAAACAGCATACGCAACCACACATGTTGTCCAACAACCGGTTGACAGGCAGGGGCGGATCCAGAAATTTCTCTTGGGGGGGGGGTCATAGACTCAGATCCCCCCACAATTAATATTTTTTATAAAAAGAAATTTTTTTAAATATTTTTTTTTGAAAAAAAAAAAAAACCTGAGGTTTTTAATGCACTTCGCATTTTTTTTTTCATAACGAACAATAGAACGATACATAAACATTTCAAGTATTCAGAATTTTTAAATAATAAATGTAATGCGTTTTTTAGAAACTTTGGCAAATCTGTCAATGATTTTTTCAACATCCAAATCAATTTCTCAGGGAATGTTCAATAATGCGAGTCCATTTAATCGTTCTTGATTTTGAGTTGCTCTAAGCCAACATTTGAGATGTCGAAGAGTTGAAAAGGAACGTTCAGCTGTCGCTGCACTAACTGGCAGAGTTATTAAAATTCTTAACAACATATTAATTGATGGGTACAAATCGATGTCACAGGCATTAATAATCTTGGAAAGATCGACCTACCTAGGTGTATTTGCCCCTTTAAATAATTTTTAAAATATTTTATTTATTTCTTTTTTAAACTATTTAAAAAATTAATATTTTTATTTTTAAAAAAAAAGTTTCTTTTTGGGGGGGGGCATGATCCCCGCGAGCTGGATCCGCCACTGTTGACAGGTGACATACTACCTGACTGTCACGTTGATTCTTATGCTGATGCGCTGGATCTTAGTATATATGATGTTCTGCTATATCTCAGTATGTTGCTTCTTTTGTAAGTATTCGAAGAGCTGAACTTCTTCTTTCTATATTCTTTGACACCCCCCGATCCACAAACTTATGATTTTTAATTAAGTGCATATGCAGCACCTCCCTCCCCCCAAATTCAATATTATATAATCTCTGAATAAATCAGAGCCTCTCAGCTTAATTATTTTTCACGTAAGAAAAGTAGTTGTGGCTCTAAAAGCTGAATATTGTGTTTGGAATTTTTTTAAATTAATTAAATAGATTTTTTTCCCTATTTTTATTTAAAAAAAATAGATCCAAATTTTTTTTTTGGATGTTTCAAAATTGATTATTAAATACCTTCAAAAACATCCCTCAACGGACTCTTATTTTATAAGAGCAGTTCTGTTTAAAAAATTTGTTTGTGATACGAAATTAAATAATATAAAAATGCCACTTTCAACATTAAATACGTTATTTCTTTCTACCGATATTATTTTTTCAAGGGACATTATTCATATCTCAAAGCATTCGGTTCACTGAAAAATCTTCTTCTGTTATTTCAGTAACTTACAGCCATTACGCACTATAAATGCTTATTTTTAGAGGAAGATTAATTTTATTAAATAATTGTGTTTCGATGAAATTCACTTATGACTTGCAGCTTTACATTTAAATCAAGATACGAATGATAATAATTAATATTTTTTTAGTTCCGATGTTTAGAAATCTATAAGAGTTGCTACAATAATTGGCAACTTTAGCTTCTTTAAAGAATTTTTTTTTTAAGTTATTAATTTTTTTGACTAAATTAATGCATTTGAAATGAGTTTTTAATAATATTTTTATTATTAATATTATTATATTTAAAGTTGCGTTACACATAACTCAAAGAATTCTGTTCACTGAAAACTTCTTCGGTTATTTCGGAGCTTGCAATAATTGCTACAGACAAATTATACAGACGTACGGCGTAGACCAGTGTGTTCCAAACTGTGGGGCGCTGGTCTACAGGCACTAGTTCGAAAGGTGGCTCCTCGGGCAAGTTGGACGCATTGCATCATTCATAGACAATCACTTGTTTCAAGAGATATGGGTGAAGATTTACTATATTTCAAGTTATTATAAGAGTTGTAAATTTTATCAAAAATAGCCCATTAAGAGGAAGGCTTTTCGCAAAACTGTGTAATGACATGGGTTCAGAATATACATCACTTCTATATTATTGTGAGGCACGCTGGCTTTCTCATTCCAAAGTACTTCAAAGGATGTTTGAGCTAAAAGAAGAGATCGCCATATTCCTTACTGATAATAATAGAGATGAAACAAACTTGTTTTATGACACGAAATTCCTTGTAAAACTTGCGTATTTAGTGGATATTTTTCAAAGACTCAGTACATTAAATAAATCAATGCAAGGGCCTCAAATTCATGCTTTTGTCCAGAAAGACAGGGTTACTGCATTTATGAGAAAATTGGAACTGTGGATAATAAGTTTGAAAAATAATAACTTCGACATGTTTCCCACTTTTAAAATTACCTGTCTTGCAGATGAAATAGAAGAAAGTAAAGTTCTTATTAATAAACACTTGACCAGTTTAAGGGAGCAATTCTCGTTTTACTTTAAAGATCTTGACATGTCCAAATATGAATGGATTAGAAACCCGTTTGTGATTGAAAAATATGATGATTTTGGCCTTACGACAGCAGAGCAGGAAATGATAATTGACTTATCTAGTGACAGCACATTAAAGCAGATGTTTCAACACGAAAATAATATTGTCACGTTTTGGTTACGAGTAAAGGACGAGTTTCCTACTTTAACAAATAAAGCTTTAGAAATTTTATTGCCCTTTGTAACATCTTACTTATGTGAAACTGGGTTTTCTGCAGTAGCTGTCTTAAAGACAAAGTATCGATCTTGCTTAAAGATTGAAAAGGAACTGAGAACCGCGATATCTTCAATGATACCACGGTTTGACAAAATTTGTGCTGAAAAACAAGCTCACCCTTCACATTAAATTTTTATAATGTTGTATTAATGTTGAATTCTATTTTTTGTACTTTTGTAAGATTTGTTTTTATTACATTATATTATTATTTCTTAAAATAGATAATTATTTTTTATGTATTTTTATACATAATATTGTATATTATTTTGCAGCCCATTAAATAAATTAAAATATCAGATGAGTGTTTATGAAATTGGATTGTTAGAAAAATTAAGGGGGGCACAACAAATTTTTTTTCCAAAGAGGGGGGCGCAGGTACAAAAAGTTTGGAAAGCACTGGCGTAGACAATAAATGCTGAATTTTGAGGAAGATTAATTTTATAAATAATTGTGTTTTGAGGTCATGAAACATGCAATTCAATTATAACTCGTAGCTTCACAACTTAAGTCAAACTAATAATGTGAAGAATTAATATATATTTTTTTAGTTTCGATGTTTAGAAACCTACAAGAGTTCCTATAGCAATTGAAAACTATAGCTTATTAGGTAAAAAAAAATTTTTCAAGCACTTTTTATCTTTTTTAATAAAATTTATGCATTTGAAATAAGTTTTCAACATTAAATGATGCTTTTAAATTACATTATTAAATTTAAAGTGACGCTATATGTAACTCAAAAATTTCTGCTCTCTCAAATAATTTGGTGGTGGGGTCAATATTTAGATATTAACGCTTTTTTTCACCAGTGATTGTTTTTCTTTTATCTGTTAAATACGTGTATTTTGCGTCATTTAACATCTATTGCTTTGCTTTTAAATTAACATTTTCTCTCAAATGACTTTAGACAAACAAAAAACAATTAATTAATGCTTAGTTTTAGATTTTGAAGGTGTCGTTTCAGCTTATTTTACTGAAATAATAATTTTAAGTTTATATATTTTTTTTACGAACATCATAAATTTAAAAAAAATTCCTTCAATATTAAATGTGTTTTTTTTCCATAGGAAAATTTTCGTACAAGCTTCTTCGCACATAATTGAAATAGAAAAATGAAAAAAAAATAATAATAAAGTATTTTTGTTAAATTCATAATTAGTTTTCATAAATTTAATTTTATAAAAATTTAAGAAAAAAGTATAAAAAGTTATAAAAATAAGCAGGAGATTCATTGAAAAAAACATTGTAAGTTCTTTTTCGTTTAATGTTTTGCATTATATGACGAATTTTCTAATTTCTTAGCGGTTAATATTTTTTTAAGTTGTTAAATTTCAATTTTTCAGGATATGGGTATTTACAGCCTATTTCAGATATTGATTACTATCCAAATGGAGGACAAATGCAGCCAAAATGTGTATATGGGTCAAAATATAAATCCGGAAATGGAAAAATCTACTGGGGTAATTTTATAATTTGTAATTTTAATTGCATTTTTTTGCATTTAAGTAATTTTTTATTTATCCACATTGAAGTTAATTAATTCCTTGTTAGCACACATGAATGATCTACGATTAAAAAAAAATTTTTAAACTATTGAAACCACATTTTTTTAGTTACAAACGTTAGTTGCATGACTCTTATTGTTCAACAACATATATAGCACTGAAAGTTGATTTTAACGTCAGCAACAGTCTTTACCACAAAGTCCAACAAGGTCTTTAGATGATTAGTAAATACTAGGAGGCTACGCCCCCTGCTCGCTGCCGCTCGCCAACTCCCAGAACTGCTTTTGCAGTTCATTTCGGATTGCTTTGCTATCCGATGCTCGCTTTTCTCGCTCATTGGATACGTTCTTAACGTCAAGCTTTTGTATACTTTTCTGAACACTGAAGTTCCGAAAAGTTTTCACTGTAGAAAATTCTAAACCTGTGCATCTCAATATTAATTTGAAATTGCAAACAGTTCACATATTTTTCTTAATCACACTATTCTAAATTTCAGTTGTTGAGAAAAGTAACTGTTGTAAGTTTTGTTTTAAAGTCTTTCCCACCAGAG